TTTTATATTAGTAATAAAAATGGATTAGAATTGTGGTATTAAACTAAGCTATATATGCAATCTGATTGTTACTTATACACAATTTGGTAAGGGAGATAAATCATAATATAAGAAACCTGATAACTTTAGCACTTTCTAAAGGTAGATTTTAACCAGAGTCATTTTATCTTTAAAATATTTAACTGAATTTAGCAACAAACATTATATTCAGGCTAATAGTACTGCTAGGGTTATGAAGATGGCTGCTTACTTTGATAACATCTTTGTGGGTGATATTGAAAGTAAGCTCTTACAGAAAAGCACCATGTATACTTGCATATATTTCTACATGTATATATGATTATCATAACATTTATATAATACTCCTAAAGTAAAATGTTATCGTAAATGGTTTTTAAACAAGTCAAACTAAGTTATTTTAAGCAGTATAAAATGTTTTTTAGCTTTGTGTTAGGCTATACAGATCATTCAGCTACAAATTTGTTTTTAGTTATAACATATTAAATATAAGGTATAATAAACATAATTATGACATAATACAAACAACAAAACTATAGATATAAAGAAATGTATTTTTAATTATAAATCATTCATATCAATAATAGGGAGAACCATTAAAAGTTCTTTTAAATAAGTAATTTCATTCAATTTGTTGCTTTAAGATACAGAATCACATATTTGTGGCAAGTTGTGCAAGATTATGCATTCAAGTTTCTCTGAGAAAGATGGAGAAATTGTTTGCCTATTGTTTTTGTAACTTTCAGGGAACATTAGCTTATTGTCTATTTAAAATATCCATATAAATAATACTTGAAGGTAATAAGTTGAAAATATTATGGAAATTGTGAGAGTGGAAGCATTATCTTGTGAATTTACGAATAAATCTGGAAGAGTGAAAAAGGAAACCGAGCGAGATTCAGACTCATGACTGTTGACCAGGCAGATGCATTAGCCAATGAAGCCATCTTAGTATATCTTAGTTTTCACTTCAATTGTTATTCAGAAGGGAATTTTTTTGGCTTGTAAAATCCACAAACTGTTTATTACTAATTTTTGGTTGGAAGTGTCTATTTTAAGTGTTTTAGTTGAATAAGTATTATGGGTGAACATAATACTTTAGTTATAAAAAAAAGTTTAACACATTAAAATAATAAATTATTTTTTGATGTGTTTGTTGTGTGAAAGAGAATGTACATTATTATTGTATATTTTTAAAGTAATGCTATTACTGATGTTTAAAAGATATTCATTAGACTCGTTTCTAAATTTTCAGATATTTCTTATCCTTTAAAATTATTGTATTGTATTATTTACTATGGATTATCTTTGTAAAAAAGTTCATTATTAACACTAGTTTGTTATATTTACAGCATTTTAATTTTAGAATAATTTTTTCTCCATTTGATAAGTTCCATTGTAAGTTTTCTGAAAAAGTTTATGTTTGCCAAACTATTTTATTCTTTATTTCATTGCAGTTTACATTAATATTAGTTTGTTTTTTAATTGTATGTTAATTATAATTTTTAAAATTGTAAGATGAAGACACTGTTGCAGAGAGTTTGAAATTCTGATAATTTCAAATGGTTTTCTTCCAGGATCAAGAAAGGTGATTGTAACAGTTAATGGATCTTTGAAGGAGTGACAGAATGCTTCTTTTGCAATTATCAGTGTTTTCAAAAGAATTATCTTTTTTCATCCTTGTAATTTTTCACTTTAACGATTTCATTTCTCTTTCAATTTATTAGTGGAAGGACCAGTAGCTCTTTTAGGTTATATTTGTTTTTTCCTAAGAATTAGATTAGTTGGAATGAACTAAATTTAATTAACTTTTTGCTGTGGTAGCAGGATTACATAAGGAAAACTTTTATACATATAAATACAGTTTGAAAGGTGTGAGGACAAGAAAAGATTCAAGAAACTGTATAAGTTTACAGTGAACGTTTGTTTTTTCTTTTTTTTTTATGGTAGTTATCTTTTTATTTTAAAAGATTGGTCTTCCAAAATTACATAAAGTGTAGTACTGATTGTTCATGTCATCTTCATTAATGCACAAAACCATGGAAGCATATTTCATTGCTGTGTGACCCATATTTGTTTGATTTAGAGTATTGACATTTGCACATGGGCATCCACAGAAATTTCTCTAGAGGGGGCAAAGTATAAATCAACATATATATATATATATATATATATATA